TATTCTGTCACGCGCCTTTGACAAGTACTTTAAAATCAACAGGGTCTAACAACGAAAACAATAGAAAAGAACTCCATGGAGACAAGAGCAATAATAATTTGTAGATGTATTTTGGTCATAGATGTTGATTTTACAAGAAACGGCATTATTCATTCCCTTAATTCACCACCAGTAAATGTTTATGGTGAATCTGTAGGCTGGCACTAGCGGGAATGATTTTATTGTAAAAAAATAAATTTTAATTGTTGTTGTATTTGTTACCAATTTTTTTCAAAACCGATTTATCTCGCAAACCGTTCATTTTTTCGAAATAAATAAAGAGTACCATTTTTAAAGAAAAACCTTCAGAGTATCTAATAATAATATTTTCAGTTTGATAAAATTACTTCTGTCAAAATTTTGAGAAAAATTGTGATAGGGCCAGTCCGTTTCTGGACACCTGATAATAGCAAAAAGTTGATTTTAGCATCAAATCGTAGAGCTCCATGTGTAATACAACGTACGAAAATTTTATTAAAATATACAGGGTGGTTTCAAAGTTATAACCCTAAACGTTCATTTCTAGGTACCCCTTTGACCCCCCATAACTCCGTTAGGGGGCACATTAGGAAAAAAAATTATAAGACTAAGGACTAGTTTTATTTTGACCTCCCCTATACACTCCCGAGAGATTAGGAGGTACTTACCGGACACCCTATATATGTTTTTTATTGAAATAGCAAATACAAGGTCTGTTTAGAAAATAATAGAACTTTAATTTTCAAAATTTATTATTAATTTTGTTTCCTTCAAAGTACTCCTTTCTATTTACACACTTTTCCCGGCAACGTCTGGCGAGTAAGGAGGGTGAGGAGGGACAGTAAAACGCCGTAAACCGTTGTAAAACGCTTTGTTACACGGTTCACTGTTTCACCATGAAGCAAGAATTCAAAATGCACAATATTAATGTCAAAAAAACAGTGAGCATCACTTTGACATTGGATCGACACTGACGTGCTTGCTTAGGGCGTGGATATCCTTTACCAATCCATTGTGAAGACTGTCGTAGCCCTAAACCCAGCGTCTACCGTTATATTCCTTTGAATGAATGTTTCATCGTCATCGGATTGTTCAAGGAGTTACCGAGAATCGTCCATACGATTTTCCTTCTGTTGTTCGATCAAACGAGGAACAAATTTTGCTGCAACTCATTGCACTCAAATAACAATATCACGAAAATTAAATGAGCTATCAACAATCCAAGAACATGTGGTTACAGAGGAAGTCATTCGCTACGCAGTGCTGCCAACCGCATATCACTAAATATATTCATTAACGGGTAATTCAAAAAGTTCTCTTTTTTTACAGCATGGAAACTTCCAAAAATCTCAACGCAAAGGGATAAATGGTCAAGGTCAAGGTTCATGGTCATATCAAGATCAATTCGGTTTGTTAAATGGTGACCCCGTAAATGGAAAGTGCAGTAAATTCTGCATCCGAATAGGACATTGTCCGTGACCTCAAGGTCAATGGTCAAGGTCATTTCAAGGTCAAATGTTGATTTTTTCTTTTTTTTTATATGTTCAACTACGGAATCAAAGGAAGTGATAGTATTTGAGTCACTAAAAAATTGTGAGTCTTTTCTATTCCATCGTCGAAAATAAAAAATGACATCCGGAGTAATCACTTGACCTCTACCTGACCTTGACCATTGACCTTAAGGTCACCATTCAGATCATAATAACATATAGAATTATACGCTCTCATGTTTATCGTCGAAATAAGGGGTCGCTACTCCAAAAGCCGATATGACCTTGACATGTTCTTCCGCCTTTGACCTCAAGATCAAGTTCACTAAGGAGTACTATCAGGAGTACTCAAAGACTGTCACTCCTTCTGATTCCGTAGTTAAATATAAAAAATTACAGTAAATATCAACATTTGACTTTGAACTTACCTTGCCCATTGACCTTGAGGTCACGGTCAATGCCATATTCGGATGCAGAATTTTCTACTCTTTCCATTTTCGGGGTCAAAAAGGAGGGTCGCCATTTGAAAAACCTATTTGATCTTGATATGACCTTGAACCTTGACCTTGACCTCAAGATCAAGGTTACTATCGAATGTACCGTGAAAAATGCTGAGACTTTTTTCGTCACCATTTGTACCAAAAATGCTTTCCCGCTGAGAATTTTGGAAGTTTCCAAAATTTTTTAATGTATATTAAATTGGTAATTAAGACTTTTAAAAGGAAGCCACTTGAAACAGTCCTTAAAATGTAGAACTGATTTAGGTATCTTGTAATGTTTTCTGTTCAAAGTAATATTGTACCTGTTAAAAACAAAATAATAAATAATTTCTTCGAAGTTTTGCAGCACCTTTTAGTGATTTTAATATCCTAGGGATATATATTTAAATACAGGTCGAATTAATTTAAACTTTGTTTTAAACTCTCATAGATATACTTTTGCATAGGGTTTATATAAAAATTATAAACCTAACCATCATGTCTTCTAAATATATGGCTAACAGTTGGCTATCATCAAAGTCGAATAAATCTGACTAGACAAATCGTTGGGATTTCTAAATTTTCTGTCCGCCGTATTTTTTTCTGCGGTTGGTGCTTAATTCTGCCTTCTTGAAGGTTTTCACCGGGATAAATAAATTCTTTTTTTATTTTCCGACGTTTATCGAATCTTAATATAAACAAGAATATATTTATTCTTTAGATTAGTTATATTAACGACCAATAAAAAATGTCAGAATATATAAATCTGTCATAAATCTCAGTTTTATTTCGAGAATTCTTTTTTAAAATAGTTAGGTACCAGGATTGTTCTGGTGAATATTAATGTTTCCTGTTGGTCAAAATGGAATAGAGTAGGAAAAAACAAAATATTTTTTGGACATAAATGTATTCAAATTCAGTACAAAGAATTTAGGGGCGTATTTTGAGGTCAAAATAAGACTTTTTTTATCTGTCCCAAGTGAGTTGGTTTGCTCCGGTAAGTGAATGTACTTTTTTAGAATTGATCCAATTGGGGATAGTCAGTCCTTATTTGTAGCAAATTAGGGCTCACTTACTGTAACTGAGGCCTCACTTAAAAATTTCCAAACTAAACTGGAATTCGGCTCAGTGCGCATGCGCAATTACGCGTGCTTTATGCTCGCTCATAGAGAAGTTAGAAGTTTCGCCACGTAACACGGGATATACGTTCGGTTGTCTAACAACTGCCAGAAAGTTTTCAATTTTGATATTTGCGTAGATATCCAATAGTACTTATATGCATGCGTGATTACATGAACACAATGTAGGCTGAATACAAACTTTTACTTCTCGAATGGTTTCAAGATTATTTATGCTTCTTTGAAGATATGTACAACATTTTTAGTTGCATTGCATGCTGCACGAAGAGTGAGGAGAGCCAAAAACACCAAAAAATAGTAGATACGGAGTTGATTCACTTGGAGTTAATGAGTTGACTCTATTAGGGTTAATGAGTTTACTCGCTTGGGGTTAATGAGTTGACTCGCTTGAGGTTAATGAGTTGACTCGCTTGGGGTTAGAGTTGATTCGTTTGGGATTAGTGAGGACTCGCTTGGGGTTAATGAGTTCACTCGTTTGGGGTTAATGAGTTGACTTGCTTGAGGTAGCAGAGAGATTATACAAAACTGTTTACTTTACTTTGCTGCGGTTTAATGGATTTTTACTAACCGTAACAAAGAAATTCTCTCAGTGTATACAGACAGCGGGTTGAATATATTTTATCTATAAGTAATAATTGTATGGAGAACAATACTCTACGGACTACAGCTCAATCCAGCATTAAATTACACCCATAATTTCTGGTAAACACCTAAGATCATTCGTCAACAGAATAACAAGACAGACTGTCATTTTGTCACTGCATTCAATGCCACGGTTGAGTCAAAAAGACACCTAATTACTATTTTCTAAAGTAGAACCCCTCACTGTGTAGAGCTGATTTAACCTGTAGAAAGAAACTAAATGACAGATCTTATTCCAAATAATTTATTTGACACATGATTTGACAGACACAATTCACTGATGCGTACATGATTACTTTCCATGTGGAAAACAAATATGTTTCTAGATTTATGTATCTAAAGACAAAATCTTGCTCAAACCGTCATCAGTTATAACGTAATTTCCAGTACACAGGGTGATTCAGGTTTAATCTGGATTATTTCAGGAATCGATAGAAAGGATAAAATAATGTTTATTTACAATATAAACTTATTCCCTGAATCGCATCGTTTCGGAGATAGAGGGCGTTCACGTAAATTTTTTTTCCCGCTTTTCCCTCATAACTTTTGAACTACCCATCCGATTGAGGTGAAATTCGGAACACAAACACTCCTTATGATCTTCTTCTTCTTCTTCTTCTTAAGTTTGAACCACCTACCCCTCTTAGAAGTGTATTTTGCGTGCCTCCTACTTCAACGAAACGATGAAATTTAGGAAATAAGTTTATATCATGAATGAACATTATTTTAACCTGTTCTATCGATTCCTGAAGTTGTCCAGATTCAACCTGAATCACCCTGTATATAATTACCCAGAAACGTTTTTGAACCTTTCAAAAAAATCCGGAGAGCTCAAAAGACTTCTTCTAATGGCAGATCTGAAAATTAATTTTGCTTACTTGGAATATAACTTTTAACAAGTTATACTGAAGCGAAACTTAGGTGTTTAAACTTAAGTATCTTTCTCCAGATTTGAATTCAAATCACCTCACAATATTTTATGGATTTCACTCATTTGACTTCCCTCAACAAGCTCCGTTGAAGCAAAACGTACACGCTTCTCGAAATTAAATATTTTCCCACAATTCTGAATTCATATTCTTTTAGTTCTCCGTTAAACGTCAATTATTTCCAGCCACCACCTTATTACGTGACATTTGGTTTTTAAAATAAATCCAAGTAATTTGATTTCGATTTTTCCCCGACGGTTACCCCTAATCGGCCCTTATCTAATGGCATCTAAAGTTCCTTACCTTTGTGTGCGGCATGAAAAGTATTCCCTGAAGACTGTTGTAGCTGGCCAGAGGCGAAGCGACCTAACGTGCTGGCGTGCGAGTAGAGGGCGCTTCCAAAACTGGGCCCTCCGGGGAAAAGCGAGTATACGCCGTATTTACCAAGGCCTGAAAAAAAGGACTGGATTAGATTCCGTGTGGATTACATTGCGGTATTATATACGTTTTTTTCTGCGGAACAATTATTTGTAAGTAGATAACTTTTCTACACTAAAACCGAATTAACAAAATTAGAAATATCTTAACGAGAGTTAAACTGTTTCACCGGAATAAATTAGGAGTTAATTAAAATATACTCCACGAATGAAAGATACTATTTTTCAAAGAATTTTACCAACAATATTGTTTTTTTTATTATTGATTAAGTACCTATTGTATAAAATATGGAATGGAAATTTATTGTCTTTCTGTACCCGGTCTACAAACATACATTTTCTTAATCTTAGCAACCAGGGGAGAACGCGTACCACACCACCACGGGTCTAAATCCATACGCAACAGCACCGATGATACTGGAGGAAAGTGAGACCACACCCACCAATTTATTGTACAGACGTGGCTGCGGTATCGGCGACCTACCTTAGTCCACAGAACTAGAGACGCAGTACTGACGTCATCACTCATACAAGCAGGTCCTCCTACCCCGTACCACCACTGTACTGCGCAAGTCTAAATTGCGCGCGCTGCTACACCTACTCTATAAGATCGGTGACAAGGACTCGAACGACTCAGTCACATCCAGGCTATTGCAGAGCTGTCGAGAGGGAATGATGGAAGCATTAAATGCGACCAGTTACAGAGACCAACTACGAAACGTGTCAGAGGACCACCATTGTCTGAGGAGAGGTTCGGCTCGTAACAGCCTTAGAATCAGCAAGAAGTAGCAAAATAAACATCAAGGCGAGCTTAAACGTTTTGATAGTGGAACGGCCTCCACAGAACATAGCTCGAGAACAACAAGGACAGGTCAAAGATTCCTAGCTATGGCCAAGGAAGTGCAAGCCTGCCTTTAGATTTTTCTTCTCAGAAAAATAAAATACTAGTCATTCATGTTACATAAGGTGAATCAATATAACTGATGAGCAAAAAAATAGATAGTGATGCCATCTATTGTTAATGATAGATAAAGACAATTTGATGGTCTGAATCGTACATCATTTTTACTTTTTTTTTGGTTGAATGATATTAGGGGAGATTATATTTTGTTTGTTAATTTTAAGTTCATTTAAATCACTGCGAAACATAGTTTAACACTGGTCACTGGGGCTACTACACTATATTTTTTTACTGTGCGTATCAGAACAACTGTACTTTTAAATGAAACAATTTTAATAATAAGTAAGGCTAAACCGATTTGATGTAACGATGTTTGTAATTAAATAAAACATGTACATTACATTATTTCACAAAAAATTTAGGTATCATTAAAATTATATCAACAAACATTAATTTTGCGGTGCTAAAAATAAAATTACTCTTTCTGAAATGTTTTTCTAAATAAATCTGGATAAAATTTGATGTAAAAATATCGCATATTAAAACATGTTTTATCGACAAATTTTGGAAGATGGAGAAGCTGGATGACATAATAGAGACACATACTAGCACCAATTTCTATATTTTTGGATACGTCTTCTTGCAGTTATATTTAAATTTATAAAACAAGTCTCATCACGTAACAACACTGACCTGTTTTCATCCCCATAAATTGTATCTAAAAGAAATTAAGCAAATTTCTACCACAATTTTCTCTAACGTATATTTCTAGTTTATTGCAATAGATGTATGGATATTGTTCATCTTCTGGCAGACTGTTGCTATGTATGTTGGTTATTACCCATTGAAATTTGTTAGCGTATTTGCATTAATTCATCACATATTATGTATTTTAGTACAGCACATCATTTCCTGTAATTAGGCCCTAATACCCGTTGGGAAATAAATAATTAAATATAATTAGAAATTATATCAGCGACTACTGCCTTGTTAAACGATTTTTTCAACTTGTTTCAATTTAATTTTATTTTAACACAACCAAAATGTTTAAAGTAAAGTGTTAGCCATCATTTTACATAAGTATTAGGTATCTCTCATCACTGATCAACGATCATTGAAATTCATTAACAAAAAAGAGGTCAATATTACATCTATCTACAGGGTCGGAAAGTCCCCATGGTTCATCGGCCGTTACGTGAGAGCGATAAAGTAAGTCATAGAAATCCGTGCGATAGTGAAGGCGTCTAATAGTCACCGCCCATTTTGCCCTTCCACTTCTTATTTGTGGAAGGGGAGTTTCCGACCCTGTATACGACCCCTGTATACGACAATCTTACCAAAATCCCGTGAATTCAGTCCCAGATTTCCACCATCAGCCAGTGATCCCCCTGCATACAAACTAGTATCACTCGTTCTCGCTCTACATATAATGCCCCTACCTCTGCAAGCGCATGGATTTCCTTCATGACTTCCGTCCATTATTAATAAACATATGGGGCGCTTTCCACCGCTATTTCCGGATTCGGAACCAAATCTCGCATGGCGCTGACAAGGATACTTTATTACCTCTACGAATGCGATCTTCGGAGGAAAAATGTTTGTTGGAAATTCTGGGTTTGTGGAAACTATTTGCGTGTTACATAAAATCGTTCGAATGTATGAGAACGCATGGAATTGTGCGGAAAATGCTGTTTTATTGTTAGATGATAGTTGATAAGTTTCCATCTCATAAAAGAAACATGCTACGATTTACATACTTTAGTTAATTTAAAGGTTTCCCTAGGGACTTTCTCATATTATAATTAAAATTTGTTTTTTTTTATGATTTTTCTCATAATTTGAAGTAGTATTTTCCCTTCCAATAGCGACTTGTTTCTAGGAGTAACAAATCATTCTTAAGACTGAAGATGCAACACTTCCTTAACCTTTAATCAGGTCATCATTCCTAAATCTTTGTCCTTACAAAACGTCATTCATGGATCCAGAAACACCATAACCAGTAGGAAGGTTAAGGGTAAGTTAAGTTACTTATTTTTTATATAACTAAACAAGCCTGGCTTTTTATATTAAAATCATCGTAACCCAAACTGAACTAGTGGCAATACATTATTTTCATTTAAATGATCGTTCAGTTGGTCTTGAACAATAGTCTTTAATGCTTTAGACATTATTGGCTAATTGAACGGAGGTTGTTTGTGGTTGGTTCTCTTTGGGACTGAGATAACTTTAGATCCTTTCCAAACCGCAGGAAAAGTATCTCCTGATGAACATTTGTTTATAACAAATATACAACTTATTAAGCAGGGAAAAATATATAACTTTTCGTTATTAATTATATCTAAACATTTTGGTTCTGTTTTAATTCCGCTAATCATTTTTTTCTAGATCTTGTTCAGTGAAACTTATTCATATTTCTAGATTTTAGAGCCACAGTGTCATATTTTAAAACATTACTAAACAATTCAGCATCAATATCAGTGAGGCTACTCTTATTCTATGTTATATGGAAGTATTTCAAAGGTCTTCCAAATCGTTTCGAGATCATTTATAAACTTATATTGTAAATACATTCGGTAAAGTTCTATAATAATTATGAGTTCTAATGGTGTTTAAATCAAAACCTACATTTTTTAATTTAATATTTGGTGTTAACCAGGATGACGTTGTCTTAGGTTCCAAAATTCAAACATATCCATATTAATGAAAGAATAGAGGGCTTCCTAGTTTACCGAGTTTAAAGGATTAATAAATGTTTCGTGGTCAAAATTGAAAAGTCGCTGAATGTTAATATCCTTGGGTCTTGTTTTTTTTTCAAATTTTAAGTGTATTAGACAATAGAATGATGTAAGACAACCGATTCAAAGTAAACAACCAGAAATCAAAATATCTCCTGGGTATTCGCAACAAAAAAATCTCTGTAGTATTCGTAATATGAATGTACAAATTTTAACATGTAAATCACAATTTTTCCAGCTCTTCAAAGTTAATTTGCTCATTTTATTGATGCTATATGTATTAAATGGCAATGAATATAATCATAGGGCGAAAGTCTTAGCTTGTGTGTTACTTTTAGCAAGTTTCAGAAGTACTATTCCTGCATTTCCATGACAATGAATACTTTCTGTGTTATCCTCGAAAATTGATCTATATTGGTCACTATATCAGTACTTATTATTGACTGGAATTGTTTATTTTATTATTCATTAATAAATTATAAAAAATATATCTATATCCTCTCCCTTTATCGATTATGTATGCTAGTTTCGTGAAGGACGTATATCTTTTTAATATATGTATATTGCACCACGCTTAACCTTGCCTTTATTAAAGTGTATATCGTACAATCTTCTAATGCATGTGTTGCATGTAGTCCACTAATAGGATATTAAATATTAAAGAAAAAAATCGATATTATCTACCACAATATTACTAAGGTAAATACAATAGAAATATATATTTACCCGGAGTAATCAATTATTGACCTGCGTTTTTCACTAATCAGGTAATGCTACGTACATAAATTTTATACTTGTAGCTGTATAACTAATTATTATTATATTCAACATGATCTTGTTGAATTACACCTTTTACAAATGGACTTCGAGAACGCAAATTTAGTTTTAGAAGGTTTGTTTGTATTTCAGATTAGTCGACGCAATTCTGGAAAATGTAAATTAAAGTCAGTATTTATTAATTTTACTTCACAAACTATTATATTATATATTTATACAGGGCACTGCTTTAGACGTTCTTCCGCCACTATGTTAGCCAACGCAGGGGCCGATATTACCACCATTAAACGACAAGGGGGGTGGCTTTCTAGTACGGTAGCGGTAGAAGATTCTATACGAAATATTTCAATCGTAAATAAATTGTTACCATCTTCAGAAGAGCCTACAGAACTTGCCAATAATACAACTTGCGCAGTAAACTTAAACAATTACAGCAGCAGCCTCATTAAACACCCAGAACTAAAAACTACGATAAATTGACAGGACTGGATCTGGCATAAATTTAACTCACTGCAATATCGGCACTTTCAATTTAAATGTGCTTAGTGCAAAATAAATTGTAATCGCCCTGCTTATAATAGTTACTGTTTTGTATTGAAA